TGTTTTTTTTTGTTAAAACCATTAGAAAATTTTTCCAGCAAACCTTGTTTGCCTTTCGAGCTCTACTTTGAGAAAAAAAAAACAATAATTGCAAGTTATAAAGTTGATTAGCTACATTGGGAGACATATTTATTACGCTCATTCGCTTAATTTGTGTAACCAAAAAGTTATTTTGTATTATATATAAGTTTTGTAATTAGTTTCTTTTATTTCCCAAATCTCCCGGTTTCCTTTGTCTACCGCTAAAATGTTTCGTAAAAATGGTGAGAATTTATCGTTTACCTACGTTATCCGGCGGAAAAAGTTTCTGTCTAATATATGAAACTTCGAAGTGTGGAATTAGCTGTTGTCTGCGATATATACCAGAACGGCAAACATTCGCAGATATATTCCAGGCAGATGTTGCCAAAGTTTTCTGAAAATGGCTTCGCTAAAGCCGCAGTCTATTGATAGCTTGTGTCCAAATGTACCTGCTTGTTTTTTATTAAGGTTGATCGAAAGTGATAATGACTCAAACTCAGTATGTTTCTTATATTATCGATTTTGAAGGAAAGAAGTTCAATTGTGACTTATAGGAAAGTGTATTAAATTTGATTGATGGCAGTTAGTTGTATTACTACACTAATTATGTAAGTGTGTTTTCTCTATTAATCATTACTTTTCATTTCGAGTCATATGGATGTGGATTCCAAAAGTAGTTAATTTCTCTTAGTGACGACCACGCAAGTGGTCATCAATCATGTCAGATAAAGTAAGATTCAGAAAGAAGTTTGCTTCAGAAAATTTTTGTCCATGCGTTAGCTCATGTTAATTTGATAGAGGAAGATGGGGGAAACAGGGTGACTATTTGCAAATCTTTGAGATTCCTCCTGCATCGGTTGTTGATAAATCTGAAGGTTCGCCAATCATCCTATTGGCTTCTTTAGTGTATCTGTTTATCTACGAATATTCGATTGAAACTTTATATAGTGCGAAGAGGACATGAATATTGTCTCGAATGAACGATTTCCATATGAGCCTTTATTGAAATACAACTAGAAAATATACCACAATAGAGTTGAACATCTACTCCACCTACACAGCGATATAATATAATAAAACTAACCAAAACTAACAAATATCAGCTATTTGCTAACTTAAATTCACAATTTTCACAATCTTAAATAAAATTTAAGAAAGAGAAAATATAGACACTGGAAAAAAACAAGGACAATATTCAAAAACGACTAAAAGAAAAACAATAAGAAAAAATGTAAACCGTTCAACCTCTTTTTAATCTCACCAGTTCTTTTAATTTGTTTTTAAATGTAGAAGCAGATGAACAACTAATATTATCCAGTAGTATCCAGCCGTACTATGCTTGGGAACATAGAACACTATACTGTTATGTATATCACTACCCCTGAGCACTCTATCATCTAACAGATGCCCAAAACAACTTTCAGAGGTATTTAACCATTGGCAATACTGGCGTTATATGATTAAATTTACCCATACCATAGCTGTATCTCAGGCAGGCATTTTGAAATTTTTGTAATCTGTATTGGTCTTTGCATCTGAGATCCGGCCGCATATCCCAATAGAGAGAGTATAAGAGAGACAATTTAAGTCTAGTCTCACCAGATAAACAGAGTTTATACAAGTAAAATACTTACAGGACTTTTCCAGTGAGAATCAAAAAACAGTTTGCTATCAAGAAAAAGTCCGAAGTTTTTACATTTGTCGATAAGCGGAGTACCATTCAAGGAAAGTTTCAGATCAGTAAACTGGATAGTTTCCTCTTTTTTGTTGACAAAAAGAACAACCTAGGTCTTGGAATCATTTAATATCAGAACATGGGCTTTGGAGATTTTAGAAATCACTTCAAGATCCTCTTTATGCCATTGAAAGACAAAGCTACATCTTTGAGAGAATGATAATTATATTTGTATATAATCAGCATACTGATGAGGCTAATATTTATTTAGGTGCTTGGAGAAGTCAGAGGTGTAAGTAAAGAACAATAGGGGTGATATGCGGTTAAAATTGTTTGGTTGTTTAGATATTTCAATGGAATATTAGATATTTCTATGTACTATCGGACTTTTCTTTGCTAGAAGTATTGATTACATTTATGTTTGAGCAAATAAGATTTGATGTCCCATTTCCCGATTGTGTTCAAGAACTGCTGATGAGTTTATTTGTTTTAAGGCTCTCTTATGTTCTTTTAGCCTAGTTGACACTTTTCGTCCTGTTTCTCTAATATTTTCTTTATATATTAATACGCATGGAATGCTGTAAATCCTGGTATCTCAAACGGAATTCCGTCTTTGACGAATCTAAGATGTTTCGCAAGTGGTTGACCTGTTTTTAACATTATATTTCTTAAGAATTTTTGATACGTGGTCAGTGATATAAGGAAAGGCCGAAGTGGCAAGTGTGGGGTTGCCTTCGGACTAATTTGCTTTAGGAGGTTGTAGTGAGGTGTATTATGTAATGGAGATACTTTTTCGGCTCTGTAAACAGGACAGGTGATCAACTGTACCGCAAGGAGCAGTTGTTAGTTCTAGGCGTAGCAGTGCTAACCAAGGTGGTCCGTGGATCAAGCGCCTGATGCTGTAAGAGTGACGATGGCCATTTATTTTGAAGCATTCATGTAGAATTAAACCATCATCTAAGAATTAAAGAAAGGTAACCAACAGAAATTAACTTTTTTATTTAAGCGGGTTGTTACTTAAAGCTTGAAGCACGTTTTTTTTTTCAATGACAATGTAAGGAAGAATTGGCTGTTTTTTGCGAAGATAGTAACAAAGAAGTTTAATTGGGTTTGTCTACCTCACCTTGAAGAAAATGACTCATACAGTTTGAGCAATATACAAAAATTAATAGAAAAAAAAGAAATAAAAAAAAAACAATAAGTAGTAGGAGGACAAGATTCAGCTCACCACCTAACCTAATATGAAAAAGATAAACGGCTATTTTGAAAGCTATATAAAGCCAACAAGGTAACATTATTTTCTGAATTGTATTTGAGTTCCGTATTTATACACTAGGTATATCCATTACTCAACACTGTATCGGTTTGTCATACCTAGATTCAATTAAGTTCTACAGTTCTGGCAAGTTGCGCAGCTTGGCAAATAAGTCCATCACTATATTGAAGAAATGTCGAGAGCAAACTAAAGCCACTGCGTCAAAAACCAATGACTGCTGCGGAAACTTTCATGAATTAGAAATACTATAGTTATAGCTCGATACTAATACTATGTCTTCGTGTTTCCGTTTCATTTTGTGCGAAACGTCGCACCTCACCGTTTCTGTGTACATACGAACGCAGATTAGGTCCAATCCTACCATTCGTTTCCGTTTATTTTCTGGGACTAACTCCACAGGTTTTCGTCGGATTTGGTTTAACGGGCGTGCAAAAATATTTGTCAGTGTTAAAATGGAAATTAGGGCAAGTTTAAAGCCTGCCGGGCCATCGACAACCCCGCTTTTTTTTATCCAGATGTGTTCGTTCGGCTTTATTTATACAAACATTTTACGTGGTACTATTAGATTATACGACCTTGTAAACTGAAATATTCACAGGATAGAAAACATGAATTTTTATGGCAATACGTTGTTGTCTTTATACAGTGTGTGATATCCAGAAGTATTCTTATGGGAAAAATATATTGATGTCTGCCTGGTTGTCATTTTCTATTATTATTTTTTATTATTTCTATTATTTAATATCTTCCGAACATCTAAAGCGAATTGAGTTTTGTTAATGATCCTTCTGATGCTAAATTGATATTTCCATGGTCTCATTCGGTTAACATGGCGACTGTTGTCCTGTACACCTGTGTTGTTATTGCTGAAACCTCAAATAACTCCAAAAATATTATATAAATATAAAAATAAATATAAATATAAAATATTGGGTAAATCTTTGAACGTCTTAGCCATATACAAAATAAACCAGACCCCACAAACAACTAATCAACATACAGGTTGTTATTGAAATGACATCATACCATCAAAAAAACAAGTGAATCGGATAAAAAGAGCTTATTTTTTCGTAATGTCCAACAGGATGACGATGCTTTCTGCAAATATAATGAGACTATTTATCCCCTACATGGTACAAAACTTAACACCCCTTTTTGTGTGTTGTTTTGACTCACATTACACCATAAACAATCTAAGGGAGTGGGGGAGTTTTTTTACGCGAAAATTATAGTTGTTTTATAGCTCCTCTGGAATTATCAAGGGCATTGTAATATTATTTTGATCAATTCTGTAATGATGGACTGCAAAACTTCTTAACTGGTGTAACTGTGAAATAACTAAGTAATGAAACTGTCACTTATTGAATGACGTGTATACTTTTTTAGATGAGTTAGTGATTTTTGTATAAGAACCATTTACTGTGCTGAAAATGGTCTGTTGTGATTGATTGTAATTGATTTCTTAATGATTTTTGAGAAGTAATTATTGTATTAAATTATTAGACTCTACCAAGTGTTTAAAATTGGACTTGATCGGCAACACAGAGATTCAGAAAATGTATCAACAAGGCCGACAATATTCCACTGAAAAATTAAAAATTCACGTTATATTTGACATTTTCAGGTTTTAACTAAATTATAAAAGATCCAGAAATACATTCGCAATGGAGTTTTTTAAAGAAGTGTCCTAGAGTTTCCCCAAATTCAAAGACCAAAAAGAATGTCTAAAACACTATAGTAGGATTTAATTTTTTCAAACATAAGTGACATATTGACAGCTGTTGAATCACTATGATTTAACCTTATTAAAGAGGAAAAACGAGATATTATTTATCACAAAAAAAATGTTAGAATAGAATTTAAACGGCACAAATGGGTAAAGATATTTTTTTAATTTTTTTTAGTAATGGCTTTAAGCTTGAGAACGCTGAATTTTAATATCAGTCATTTGTAACAATTACAATTACTTATGTATTTTTTACTTAAAAAAAGATAGTGGAGGTATGTTTGAAAATTTATACCTTGTAATTTTTTCACAATATTTTAACCATTGTTATACATACCAGCTAGAGCTTTCGCTAAAGCAGTAGCCAAATCATTTCCTGGGGCAGACTCTTTTAATGAGGTGTTCATAGTGGGTTTAATTTCTCTTTCATCCGCTGGTTTTAATTTTATACCCTTGCGAATTTCACTTAACAAATCGCCACGAGCCTCATCCTCCGGTGGCGTAATTTTTCCTTCAACTGGCTGAAATTAATTTTTAAGTATTCTGTAAACATTGAGCAGGTTACAAACCTTTAGACTAGCACCATTTCTAATACTTTCCATCAGAGCGGCATTGTTGATCATAGGAGGTGGAGGAGTAGGTGCATGACCATTAATATCTATAGATGGCGCAACGGGTATATCCATCGGTGGAGGTGGGGGAGGTGGAGGTGGTGGTGGTGCAGCAGTAAAATTGTTTGGCACAGTTTTGGGCGGTGAAGGCGGTCGTGGCTTTCTAGGCAGAGCATCTAAAAAGGAGGAAAAAGCAATAATACTTTGGTTTGGGTAAACTCAAATACTTTAGCCTACTTTAAAACTTCCCAATTTAACGGTTAGAAATTAAAATACCTGAATGTACTCTGGGGCTATCAACTCTATGTAAAACTGGTGGAGGTGGAGGCGCAGCTCTAGTCTGTCTAATAGGACCCCTTGGAGGAACAGCAGGAGGTGGACCACCATCACTTAAGTGTGTATTAGGATCTTCTAACCGAGCGAGGCCACCATGTTTATTAATAAAATCATAGATAAATTCCCTAGTGTCCTTATCCTGAAGTTGCTTTTCAGAAACACCTGCCTATAATGTATACCCAGCGATACAAAATATGTCAACTACAAATGTTTGATAATAGGTAATGTATTATATCTAACCTTTTCAAAAAATTTTTTTAGCTGTTCATCTTCACTATTTATATCATATCCGGATTCCGGACTCCAACCTACATGCGAAATATGTTGAAAATTCATAGGGGTACTAATATCAGCTTTGGTGATGTTTCTTCTACGTTTGGCTAACTTCGCCTCAGGATTTGGACTCTTTTTGTAGATATCATTGGAAGCGGGAAGCCTTAAGGTCTGTGACTGACTCATATGTTTGACTTTCTTCTCCTCCCTTCTTTTCCTAATTAGTATTTTTTGTCCAACTATATCTTTAAACTCTGACGCTTCATCTTGATTGACAAAATTAAAGGCAACTATATACTCCTCACCTTCAAATACATGAAGGTATGGTGCATACTCCATGTATTCCATGTTGTTATACATTTCGTGTTGCCAAATCAAAGCGTTGCTACGCAGACAGAATAATCGGAAAAAGTAATTTTTTCGGATATTATCTTTCACAAAACACAGAATACCCGTGTCTTTCTTGAACCATTGGGAGTGATGGGGTGGCTGAGTAGTAAAAACTTGTACAACAGTAGTACACATTGTTTGACAACGATTTCCCAAGAGTTTAAACACTTGCAGATTTTCTTCCGTCGAAAGCAAACGCGAACTTTGATTTTCAGTAGGGGGCATTTTCATTCTATATCTGAAGATTTGTTCTCGAATATTATAAAACTTTTTGGTAAATTTAGGAAACAATTCCAAATTATAATAAACTAATGACTAATAACACACAGCGTTGTTGACACAAGTGGCAATCACTGTCACTGTCACTACATAACCTTACTTGGGGAAAAGATATGCAGGAGCGTAGTAAGGCACATTTTAACCGTCTAATAATGATTTCCCATCTATATTTTCTACAACACCATATTAGTGCATCCTTTGGTGCAAGACATTTTGTGCAAATATGTCAGCTACAGAGAACGAGCCTTAATTCTCAACTGCCAAAATGATATATTGTTTCAAATTGTTGTCTACCCTAGGATGTTGGATAATATTGAAAAATTCATGCCTATGTCGCGTAAAAAATACGCATAATTTGTTCAAAATCTATTCTGAAATCCTATGTACTATTCGCTACCGCCGATGTCGATTTTCTAATTCCATAGGCATTATTTTATTAATTAGTTAAAATGACTACTTCGCTGGTGTTCCATACTTATTTCGACACATAACCAACACCTATTTATCAATAACAAACACGTGATAATATTGCCAATTAAGTACGAGAGTACTTTCACAATACTAATCCTGCTATTTACATTACAATTTATCTGTTTGTCTGAATATAGATAGGTGACAAAACTCCCTACATCATTTATTTATCGTTTTTCAACAAATGCACTGTTACGTCTTCAATTTCGAAAAATTTGATACTTGCATCAAGCAAGAAAATTAACGGTGGCGTGTAAATTGATTTTTAAAGAAGTCAAGCAGGGATAATTTATATTCCTCAATATATTGTTTTTGTTATCTTTTTAGATCTACATTCACGACATATTCCAAGAAGTTGTTTATTCTGTAAAAGAAAATAGATTCGCATTAGAAAGTTTTACATTTTTGCGATCGCAAAAAAAAAAAAACAGTTTTGGGAAAGTCCCTGATGATCAAGAAATTTATAAATCTGGCAGCGTAGCAGTGCGCAGTTACAGTGAGGAAGATCGATATACATAGCACGTGTATTGTCACTCACGGGAGTTTAATGTTAAAAAATATTGTGAAGGTAAATAAATACAAATAACGTCTAGCCAAAGGTTCATTAGAGGATTTCAAGTTTTTAAGGATCCATGCAAAGTCGCGATACATTAAATATAAACCGGTAGTTACCGAAGTCCGGTTTGTATATTCTAACCTCTATTTAGCTTCATTCAATTAAACTTGGGCCTTGCTACTATTTTTGTTTTTTTTGTTTTGTTTCTTCCCAAAAACATTTTTGGGTAATAGGGTAATTTTTGTTTCAAAACTTTTCACACTGTGTTTTAAGGAAATTAAATTTTATATTACAATTTGTATCTAGGGTACCCACATATTTAAATTGGCGAATGCGCCGGAACTACCAAGATAAGTCCATTAAGGATACCTTACTCAGTCACAAAAAAGAAACTTTTAAATCAATTTCTGCATTTAACTAAATGAAAATGAATATTTGGTTAATTTCAGATTAAAATGTTTCGCAGCATGCATATGAAGTTGCTGCCTTCAACGCAAATTAAGTCTTTTTCAGCAATACCTATCAGTAATTTGTATAGCTATTGAAAATTAATTAATTTTCAATTAGATCCGATTGGGTAAAACTAAAATATGATTTAAAAGTTATGTGTTACGTATTATGGAAACAAAATCAATCAAATCAAATTTGGTTTCTTGAACTCTATCGATGGGTCGACTTTGATTCACTAAGTGTTGAACATCCTGTACACCTCTGTCGCAATAAATTTCGAGAGGTTAGGAGAATCCGTCACCTTCGAAAAATAGGTTTTATATCACACCGCGTAGACTTCAAAGCGTATATTAATAATTTTTCTATATATGTATATGAATTTCTACAACTTCGTTACTGATTGCGAAAGCAAAAGGATTTATTGAATGTGTAAATAAATTATAGATTTATTGAGACACATTTAAAATATTTTGAGCGAAAAATTTAACATTTGAAAATAATTCGAAAACAAACGAAGGTGTCAAAATGCTGTTCTTACAGAATCTTAAATTCGTGTCAATTGCTATGCAAACTTAACTAGAGTGTTCATGGCATGTAGTATAGTTTTTGTAAAAAACACTTTTGTATTGCTTTGATTGTCACTATTTTCCTGCGAATTTAGTATGTCTATTAATTTTCCTGCCTTCACTCATTTTTGTACTAATTTATGATATCTCCTTTCCTCCAGAATATGATGGTTTTTCCTTATTTGTTGTTTGTTAATGAAAGAAGCATGCAGAAGAAACAAAAGTAATTATATGTAAAGTTTAATCACCTTAATATACAACAAACACTCTTAAAAACTGCTTCTAATTGACTTGAGGTTACATAGAAATAATAATATATAAATTTATTAATAGTAAATGATATATATATATATATATATATATATATATATATATATATATATATATATATATATATATATATATATATATATATATATAAGGATCCAAATTATACGGAATTATATATATATAGAATTTCTTGGAATTTCTTGATTGATGACATTGCTTGGGTTGTCATTTAAGTTTGTATTATTATTTACATTATTCCTTAAGGTATAAAACTAACCAAAAAATAATATCTTGTGTTTGAATTTTACCCGTTTAATTTCAGGTTTTGAAGCAATCCAGATCTATCGATATTTTCTATAAACGCTGCATCCTCATTAATATGACTTCTAAATCGAAGGAAGAAAATAACTTTCTCTTTAACACCGATCAAGATGATTTAGAGAGACGTAACGTGATGTTTAAGAGTGTAGCTTCACAGTGCGGTCACTTTTTGAACGCCGACGAAGAAAACATTGTCGTTATGATAAAAAGTGCTTCACCCGTTAGAGATTTGGAAGAGGAGGACGAGCGGCAAGAAGAATCGACGGAAAATGAGGACGAGTCTGTTCAGGTAAGTAACATCTTAATTGTCTTGTCTGGAACTTATTGCCATTTCCCCAACTTTCGTTTGCCATATATTGGGAATCAAAATCTAAATAAGTACTTCTTGAATATTTAAGGAATTTATACCATTTTTTATTAAATTTTGCTTAACTTCAACACTCAAAATCAACATAAAACTAGTGTCATAATTATAAGAGACAAAAAAATGATTATGCAAAAAAATGAACTCGAAAGAAGAGCGAGTGAGTTTAAATTCGACTCTCAACATTCGGATCCCGTAAAAATTAAGTTTTTTGTTAAAGTTATCTTTGGCAAAGGAAATATTTTATTTTAGGATTTACGAAAATGTTGGAAGTTTGAATAGCTTTTTTATTACCTTTTTAATGATAAAATAGTTATCCTTGTAACTTCGACAATCCGAAGGATTTCATCTTTCCAATCCCTCATATGTAGATGGGATAGTGTTTTGGTCTTATAAGTTATTAGTTAAATAGTTATTGAATTGAAACGCCTGGGATGCAGTCAGAAATATTTCTGATAAGATAATTGCAAATTTTTGGATACTTCCCTCGTCTTCATCTCGAGAGCCCAAGTAAAGTTCATATACTGGAACTTGGAACCAAATATTCATAAAACATTTCTAATAGGAAACATTTACTCCAACCTCAATCTTGGTATATACTTAGAGTATCACACTACAGCACAAATTGGTTTAATTAAAAAAATTCGGGCATCGTATGAGTGTAAAAATAATATGCAGGTTACGCAGTTGTTAATAACCATCTTGTCGTCCCACTAAACTGTAACTTCCTCTTTGAGCGTCAAACTTGGATAAATTAAATGTTACATGCAATACCTCAAAGCCTTGCACTGAGTTGCCTAATTGAATGAGATTTCCTAATATTAGTCGATGGAGGACTAAATATTTTGACTTGTATTGCTCAAAACTAAGCAAAACTAACTAAAACTATTAGTTACTCCATGGAGCTGCGATAAACATATAAGATCGGCGATACTAGCGAATCGAATTTGTATATTCGATTTATAATGTCGTATATAATGTTTATAATTAATTATTAAAAAGTATTTAATTAAAGAAAGTAACTGATTAGTAACTATTTTTCTATCTATTAATAAATTTGTTATTAGTATTTATAAGATTTTCGAATGCTCTGGCTTTAGGCTAAAAAAATAGATTTTACCCTTGGTAGTACGCAAAGGTCTAAAAAGGTACAATTTTTGAGGTGGGCCTTGTTGCCCCAGAGGGCCGCCTTGCCCCACCCACCCCATGTATGTTGTTTATGTAGGAACTACGAGTTCAGATCAGCGTAAGGGCTATTTTTATCCTTGCCCTGCTCTCTTCGTTCCTCCATTCAATCATATTTCCAACAAATCGCATCCGATGCAGATATGGTTTGTTAGGATTTACGAAGTTTAGTCGAGAAGTCTGAGGTTTGTGTGCTGAACTGTTTATAAAAGTGACGGTGTGGTGTTGTTAGAAAATTTTTGACATATTAGGAGCAAGTTTCTGCATAAAAATACACCTTAGGTTTCCGTGAAAATTATATAACGTAAATGGTTTTTAATTTTGGATGCAACAAAAGAAGTGGAGAAGAAATAGTTCTTTTCATTAAAGGCAGGATGCAGAAGGAAATTGGTTAATACATAAAAGAAACGGGAGATGGGGATATGTCTAACTCGTATATGTCTCGTCTGAGTGATGAAGAAATGGCACAAGTCAGTAACTGTAAATTTTCTCCTTTATGTGCCCCCTCCATTTCGAAGGTTGGCAATTATCAAGTCTAAACAGTTGGTTGTTACTGCCGCCAAACGACTCCCCAAAGTTCCTCAGAGTTTCGTCTCATTAATTTAATTTTTCCTTGCATAATGACTTGTACCATTTGATATGTTTACACTACAGATAACGAACATTTCTTCATCGCTTCTGTCTGTTGCAGGTTCTAGCAGTAGCAGTTATTTTGTTCAATATTGAATTGAACAAAATAACCATCCATGCAATTTTCTGTGCTCCTTTCTAATCTCATCACAGTAAACAATATTCCTGCACATCTTGGTTTCGGATGCCGACTGGTCAAGGGTTGTTCACAACGTACATGAGATAGATTGTAGACCCAGTGAAACCATTATTTGCAGCTGCC